GTTGTTGTTATTGGTATGATTATCACTGCTGTAATAGCAGCCAAAATCACCAAATTAGGCTGTGGAAACCATTCTTGCTGTGCAGACACGAAGACAAGGTTATATTTCCTGAAGCCATTACAGTCTAAGAGGTTTTTAATTGGGAGGAAATAATACATTCACAAGCACTAATGAGAGAGTTACAGAATAAACCCAGACCTAAGGGGAGGGAAGGAGGAGGGAGGTGAAGCCTCAGTGCAGAGACCCCACATGAAGGAATGATTTGGGGAGCAGCTGCTGCCGGGGCTGCAGATCTGGGATGGGGGGTTCAGTGTTTCTGTGTGCATGTACATGTCAGTTATCTAATAAGGCATTTCTTAAGCTGCAGTGATACTGCTACTTATATCATAAATTCAATGATCTTCCCTTTACTGGTCATTAATCTGCTTCGTTTCCTGACAATTTTATACTCTTCTGATAAACTGTTTGTCTAACCGCTCGGAAGAAACAATGTCAAAAGCTGTACCTTAGGCATTCGCCCAACTAATGAAGAAAATCCATCACAAGGAGAGTTTATCTATTGCTTTGCTGGATGTAAATAAAACATCAGGCTAATTTACTTCCATTAATCTTAAAGGCTGTCTCTACAATGGTAGTCCTATGTTGGAGTGGACTTTTTTTTCCTTTTCCACGTAAATATTTAAGCAAGTACTGAAAGCATAAATAAATTGCTTTCTAAAAGCCAGATTATTTTTATATTCAGTGATTTAACAATAAATTTGGATTTACTTGCTAGCTCTTACCCTTCAGGCAGCAGCCAGCCCACACTCCTCCTGCATGCACAGGGATGCTTGGGTGAGTTTTGCTGAGCATCTTGTGGCATCTCCGAGTACCAGCCCTGAGTGTGACCCCACTGGTGTCATCCTCAGCCAGTGGATGTGTTCAGTAGGTGTTTGGGCTGCTGTGTGAGATCTATATGGGGCTGCTGCAAAGGCTATTTGGTGTCCTGTGGCTGCAACGGGCAGCTCAAGAAGTGGCCCTTAAATGCAGCAAAAAAGGCTTTTATTTTATGGAGGGTGCAGCCTGCAGAGCAGGCTGCTGAGGGGCCTTCAGGGGTCACCAGCTCGGGGGGG